ACCTCAGCCTCCCAAAGGCGCGGGATTACAGGCTGAGCCACCGAGCCCGGCTGAGTTAATCTATTTTAACTTCCTTGGTTTGAGCTGAGGAGGCCGGGATCCAGAGAGGTCCCATGATTTGTCTAAGGTCATGTTGCAGTCTGGCCTAAAATAGCTTGACACTTGCTGAAGGAAAATAAATATGAGCCTTCCAGAGGCATGAGGACTTCCAGTTGGTAGCTGTTCCTTCAGCATGTTTTCCCTAGATTTAGATTCCATGTAGCGAGGTGCAGTACCACGGTTAACAAACACGCCCTCCTGAGGACAGCGCAGGCATGGTCACTGGGAGTGTTGTGCAGTGAAAGCACCATGGGTTGGGGGGTCCCAGCTTCAGACTCTTAAAGCCATTGCATTTCTCCGAACTGAATCCGGTCTCCAGACTGAGGGAATGCTGAGGGTGAATGTGCGCATGACATTTGCCCATGTTTGCAAGCAAATAACGGGACCCTGCAGTCAGAGTAGCTCACAAAGAGTGATTGCACGTGGTGACACTGCATCCCTTCAGGTGATGACAGAATGCTGATCCTACGAAGAGTGAGTGTGGACAAAACAGAGGATGTCATTGTTATTCCGATTCATATCTATGGTGGATCAGGGTCGTTAGATGTGCCAGTGCTAGCTGGCCAAGACAGAAAAGTCTATCCCTAAGATTCAGTTTCTTCATCTGGAAAAGCTGCAAAGCCAATGCCCTCTTTAAACAGTGCCATCTTCAACATTTCTTCCAGGGTTTTAACTGCACTGTCTTTCCCCATTCCTTCTCCAGGCTGGATGATAGATGCAGACAGTCGCCCAAAGTTTCGAGAGTTGATCCTTGAATTCTCCAAAATGGCCCGAGACCCCCAACGCTACCTTGTCATTCAGGTACAGACCCTAGTCTGCCCTTCCATCAGGAAAAGTCTTCTGATGAGTAAAGGATGTCATAGTGCTCTGTCTCATGCCAAGCCTCCCTGTGTCCTGGGTCACATCACTAAAAGCTCCGGCACATTAGAGCAAGCCTCTATCAAGGCATAGGCCACATTTGAAATAAGTGTGGCCCGGGAGCGGTGCCCAACCAGCTCCCTTCGGCCCTCCCTGCTGGACTCCTCCTCACACACAACCTTCCACACTCAGTCCCCGCATCATCCTCACGTTTCAGTCAGCCAAAGCCCAGCTCACGAAGAGCTGAGACTGTGGTGCCAGGCAAACCTGGCTTCATGTACCTGATCCCCGCTCCCCATATTGCCCAGGCCGCCTATCAGCCTGTCTCATTCCACAGTGTGGGCATGCCAAAACCCAGCTCACAGGGCCTTCGCAAAGAGTCAGCGTGACCTGTGCAAAGCGCCCTGCCCATCCCTCGCAGCACCAGGCACACCCAGCAAGTGGCGCTTCTTCCCTGTCTGTCCCTCTGGAGCTGCTGGCATTTTATGCGGGGACATCCATACAGAGCTATCCTTCAGAGAGCCAGGGGACTTTTACTGGAACAAGATCAGGCAAACATGCAGGCACCACTGACCACAGGCCCCTGCTCCCAGAGCCAAGATGGGGGATAGCATCTCTGCTGGCCTTTCTAATCGCCTCACAATCTCTGCGCCAGGGGGATGAACGCATGCATCTGCCAAGCCCCACAGACTCCAATTTCTACCGCGCCCTGATGGATGAAGAAGACATGGACGACGTGGTGGATGCCGACGAGTACCTGGTCCCGCAGCAGGGCTTCTTCAGCAGCCCCTCCACATCACGGACGCCCCTCCTAAGCTCTCTGGTAAGCACTCCCCACCTGAGCGCACTCTCTCTCAAGCGGGTTCACATAAATTGAATCTCAGAGAAAATGACAACCGTCTAGTAGGACTCACACAGAGACAAAGTCTGTTTTAAGCAAATGGAAAAGCCAGAGTCAGTGAATCAAGTAAGTGTATTGATCATTTTATTGCACCGCAACGACTTTGAGCTTCATCAAAGGTAGGCTTTGAGGTTCATCATGGAGCAGAATGATCACTAAGCCTAGATTTTCTAAAGTTAATGATTAAGACAAAACGAAGCCCCTTCCATGTGCTCCCTCTCTGAGACCCCCTCCTGCATTGGAGAAGCGGGGGTATGTGCAACACCCCGTGAGCAATGTCTGTTTCTTCTGCAGAGTGCGACCAGCAACAATCCCACCGTGGCTTGCCTCAATAGAAATGGGGTATGTATGGACACCTTACACACCAAAATTAACAGCTCTGTGTCACATAGAAAATGCCTGTCTTGACCCAAATAATCCTGACTTTGCTTCCTGCTTGAGTCCTCCCCTGCATGGCTTCCTCGACCCTTCCCTAAGGCCAGAAGTAGCTAGCTGTCCTCATCACAGTGCCATTCAGAGCATGGCTTGGGGAACAGGAGCAGCACCACCTAGCAGCCTGTTTAAAATGCAACTTCCTGCCAGACTCAGTGGCTCAGCTTGTCATCCCAGCACTTTGGGAGGCCTAGGCAAGTGAATTGCCTGAGCCTGGGCAACTTGGCGAGACTGCATCTCTACAGTAAATCAAAAATTAGCTGGGTGTGGTAGCACATGCCTGTAGTTCCAGCTACTTGTAAGGCTGAGGTGGAAGGATCACTGGAGCCCAGCAGGTCGATGCTGGGGTGGCTGTGAGCAAGCCACTGCACTCCAGCCTGGACGACGGAGTGAGACTCCAACTCAAAAAAGCAATGCAACTTCCTAGGCCTACTGACTCAGAATCTCTGGGGTGGCACCTAGTAATCTGTGTTTGAGTCAGCCTCACAGGTGATACCAATGCCTGACAAAGTAAAGTCCAGATCTAGACCTGCACTGTGCAGCGCAGAAACCACCAGCCCGATGTAGCTATGTAAACTTAAATTTTAATCATTAAAGTGGAATAAAATGGTAAAATCCAGTTCCTCATGCATGTGAAGCACGTAGTGGCCATGTGTGGCTAGTGGCTGCCATGTTGAAAAGTGCAGACTGTCTGACAAAGTGAAGTCCAGATCTAGACCTGCACTGTGCAACATAGAAGCCACCAGCCCCATGTAGGTATGTAAACTTAAATTTCAATCATTAAAGTGGAATAAAATGTAAAACCCAGTCCCTCACACGTGTGAAGCACGTAGTGTGCTAGTGGCTGTCGTGGTGAAAGTGCAGACCATACAACATTGCTGTCATCACAGAAGGCTCGTGGGGTGTATCGCCAGGCCCTGCTCCTCACCCTGGGGTGTGGCCCAGGGGCATGGGCACCCCAGGGGCTGGTTAGGAATGCAGACTCCCAGGCCTGCCTGCCCTACTCATCAGAACCTGCGTTCCAAGGAGACCTCAGGCGACTTTTGTCCACACTGATGTCCGAGCAACCCTGACTAGAGTAACTTTGCCTGTTTCCTCCTGCAGCTGCAGGGCTGCCCAGCCAAAGAAGACAGCTTCTTGCAGCGATACAGCTCAGACCCCACTGGTGCCTTGACTGACGACAGCATAGATGACACCTTCCTCCCAGTGCCCGGTGAGTGGCTTGCTCTGGAAGCAGTCATGCCCCTCAGCCTCCCCACCCCATCCAGCAGTAGCCAGTCTTCATCGCCCGGTGCCCAAGCCGGGGGCTTTCTTCCAGCTGATCCAGACACCTCTGGATCCAGACTGGCTGATTTGCAGATACAGGGAAGGGAGTGAGGAGCAGATCAATACAAAACGACTGAGCATGCGGAAGTCTTATTGTGTCTGGGTTGTTTGCTCTGGCTTGTTTTAAGAATGAATCTGCAGATCTTCTAGGATATGAAGCAAACCATAAACATATACGTGTATATATGTACATATGCATGCATGGTGTGACGTGTATGTGAGTATGTGTGAGTCTTATACTGGGGTGCCAAAAAATGTATATACATTTTAAGAGATGTTAAGAGACTTTTGCTGTAATCCGAAGTATCTGGACACTGATGGTAACCACTGTGAGCACCTTTTGTAATTGCAGAAGTCAGACACATGACTTGTTATTGAGTATTACAATTTTAATATAGTTTTTTCCTTTCTCAAAATGTGTATGCATTGTTTTGGCACCCTGGGTGTGTGTGTATGTGTGTACACATATATATGACAGATTCAATTCCTGTTCTCTCTCCTGACTCCATTCTTGATCTGTGAACACACATTTAATTATCTAAGCTTTATTCCAAGATACCCCAACCTGCTCACACACACACCTCAAGGCAGGCTATGCTCTGAGAACTTTACATTTGCAAAAGATACATGTGCCCATCGCTTTGAGAAAACAATTTATTTTGCTGCAAGAATGAGATAGTCATCTCCGAGCCTCCCCACCCTCTGTCATCAGCTGCCTCCTTGAAGATGTTCACAGAGTTCAAAATGAGCCCTAGAATTCTACGTTGCTGGGATGATGCTTTGCTGATTACTGCACCTCTGATTTTTTTCACTTTCAGAATACATAAACCAGTCTGTTCCCAAAAGGCCTGCAGGCTCCGTGCAGAACCCCGTCTATCACAATCAGCCTCTGAACCCAGCTCCTGGTAGAGACCTGCACTACCAGAATCCCCACAGCACCGCAGTGGGCAACCCTGAGTATCTCAATACCACCCAGACCACCTGTGTCAACAGTGTACTTGACAGCCCCGCCCACTGGGCACAGACAAGCAGCCACCAAGTTAGTCTGGACAACCCGGACTACCAGCAGGACTTCTTTCCCAAGGAAGCCAAGCCAAATGGGATCTTTAAGGGTCCCACAGCTGAAAATGCAGAATACCTAAGGGTGGCACCGCCAAGCAGTGAGTCTATTGGAGCATGACCGTGGAGGACAGCGCTGGCCATAAACACCCAGACTCCTCGGATATCTGGGCCAAGCCCCAGTGGCTCTTCAGGTCCTCATGGCCATGCCCATGTCAGCACTCAGCCCCATGGCTGTTCTGCCACGTCTGCTCCAGTGGGGCCCTCTCTCAACCAGGAGGTGCCCCTACCCCAGGGTCCTTTGGGAAGCTGCAGGTGCATCCTTTGTCTTCCAACTGTGAAGCTTCCACAAAAAGGCATCCAGCAAGAATGTTGTCCGTTTGAGCAGAAGTTTACCTATTTGGAAAAAAAATAAATATATGTAAGGATTTTTATCGGTTGGGGACCTTTGAGGTTTTTAACTGTCCTTATTGATTTTGATTTCAACGGGCTCTTCCAACGAGGAAGAAGCTTGCTGGCAACACTTGCTACGCTGAACAGTGACCAATGAGTGTGGCCACAAGTCTTGCAGATAACGCTCCACTCTTCCACTGCAAGTCAAGTGAAGATACAAGAAGTCCTCTGTGTCCCAAGTGGGCCTGCCCAGTACTGTATCAACTCATGGCAGGTACAAGAGCACACAACACTCTGCCCCTTCCTGGACAAGGAAGAAACAGGGTAGAATTCTTCCTCATCTTACTTTTGTATAAATGTCCCCATGGTACTTACTCCCCACTGTTTGAACGGTGTTTTCTAATTATGAGCATTAGACTTACTTGTTTATTTTTCATTCCATTGTTTTGAATTGTTTTCCTTGTGTTGCTGTCACGAAGTCAGCAAGAGAAGATGGTACGTCAAGTAATAACTAAGAATCTAGTCCACGTTTGATTCTTCAGTGTTTGGACCAAAACCCATTAAGGTGGAATAACAGTATGGAAGTTTGCAAAGGAACATGTCCCTGCACTTGAGCCTCAGATGAGATGCATCAAGTGTTTGGGGGCAGGAAGCTATAGAAAGTTACAACAATGAAGCTCTCTTAAAACTTCTTCAGCTGTCACCTCCAACCCCCAAAATTTAGTTTAGATGACTCATGGAAAATAATTTTCTCTTTTCACTTCACCCTAAAAGTTTTTTTTTACTCCAAGGGTATGTAGTCCTCCCTGTCAGCTGCCCCAAGAGCCTCTCCTTGCCCTTTGTAAAAGAAAAAAAGGGTTCTGGGTCTTGAGACAACTCTTTAAGAACTTCTAGCCCTGTCCACAATAGACACTTTCATGGGTATAGACAAAAATATCATGATGAATGTTGCAGAATTTAAGTGACTAGGGTCTGACATTGATGATAATGCTTTCACAACATTTATGGATCTTAAAGAAAAAATATTTTCCCTTCTAAAATAATTTTTCTATAATTAGAGGATCTGGCCAGTTAGGATCCCAATTTTTTCCTGAACTGTATGTGTCCCTCCAACCTGATTGATTCATATCAGTTCTTAGTAAACAGTGTTTGAAACACTCCCAGTCAAAGTCTACCCTGTCTGGTTTATCAAGGAAGACATGTTTCAGACAATATTTTAGCAGCAGATATGTTCAGCCCCATACATATGCAAAATCTTCCTTTTGCTTTAAATTATGAATTGACTTTCTGATTGGTGTCCCACAGTTTTGTTAAGCCAAATATTTTATTTTTGTCTCCATGGAAATAAAACTATATTCATTTCCATCCCATTATACTCCGAAGTACTCTTAAGTACCTGTGCCAGCCCAGAATAGGTACCAAAGATTCAAAAATAAATAAGACATAATCTCTGATTCTGAGAGATTTCACAGGCTAGCAAAGGAAGTGGACTCATAAATTCCAACCTTAAAACAGTATGGCAAATAGCAGACTGGCCAGACACTGTGAGAGCTCAGAGCAGGGAGCAGGTTCTGCCTGAGGAGACCTGGAGGGGTCACCAGACGCAAGCCTCAAGGGTCTTAGGCACAAGGGCGCAGGATGGTACACGCCCAGCAGGGAGAGCCCTACCAAGAAAGCACCTGCCAGAGGAGTCCACTGACAAGTCGGCTTCACACAGGTTCAGTCGCCCTAACAAGTTGCTCCCTCCAAGCCTGGGGATTAGGCTCAAAGCCCCCAGCTTCCCTAAGTATCGCCTCCTCGTGGAGGGTGTTTGGCCATCGTCTCTGAAAACGATTAGTGAGGAGGCTAAGCGACGCTTCTAAGAGTCTGAGCTTGCATGCCATTGTTGGTAAACCACTTTCATTATTTGTTCGTCTCAGAACAAAAAGGAATATTTTAGTCAGAACTGGGAAGCAGAAGGCCGCGCATTCTGCTGCCACGTGTGTGTTAAGAAGCAGAAGATGGATGAGGGAGGTCAGTGGTAAGCCAGTCAAATTGTAGCCATTAAATTCTAGTATTTTTTAGTTTGAAACACTTTATTATAACATAATAAAACCACAAAACGGCCCAAGCTTGCTTGCTTCTTCATCTTTCAACTTCCCTGCGTAACATTTAGTTGCTAATTCCTATTAATTTTAAGACTGTGTTTCCCCGAATATTCTCACTACATCTGTCTGGGAGCACGGGAGGGTGGGGGGGGGGGTTGTACAAAGTCACAGTCTTCCTGGGCCCTGGCGCCACTGCAGGCGATCAGGAACGGAGCTGCCCAGCATCCCATTACCTCCATACTGCAGCCCTGCTTGGTCAGTCTCAGGGCTTGCTCTCTGTCCTTTTGATTCTTCTCTGCTATTTCCTCCTCAGTAGTTAGTTGCTGGAGGACCTCATCCCTTGGCCCAAGCCCTTGGAAACTGAGTTCAGGGGAAAGGAAAGAATTGACAGCTGACATCGGCAAGTCTTACAGAACCTTCTCATATAATCTCTAAGGAGTCCCTCTTGTCACACCCCGTGAAAAATACTTCTCAATACTTCTCACCTCATAAAGTAAAAAAGATAAATCTTCTAAATTCTAAATTTGGCATGAGTACAGGTTGCCATTGATTGTGTTTTGCTGATGTAGGTGTACTGTGCATGCATCTTAACCACGTTGGTGACAACAAAGCTTAAGTATTTGTTGAAAGTTCATGCTTTTATGCTTACTCCCCTACCCCACCGCTGCCCAAGCTGCTGACCTAATGAACCACGGATTGCATAAGCACAAAACACTGGCTCTCCAACTGGCTGCCCCTGTTCAGAATCTCCTGGGTCCCAACCACAAAGATTCTGATTTAATTTTTCTCAGGTGCAGCCCAGCAAGGAACCTTTCAGAGCATCTCCAGATCTCCAGGTTATTCTGACATGCACCAAAGTTTTGAGAACCACCAATATAAAGAAAAGGCCTGGGGTGGGGGCTGGCACTCGCTGGGGGGCCACCACCTGGTGTCACTGACGGTAGGCCATGGATCAATCTTGCTTGGTATGAGGCTGGTGGATGAGGGGGACTCGACAGAGCTCACCCTCATGGCAGATGAGAATCACCTGGAGAGCTTCAAAAGATGGGATCTGGGGTTTCTGCAAACCAGGGTACCATGAATCTCAGGGGCTGACCACATGATTCTGATGGGCAGCCAGGGATGAAGCCCTCAACTGCAAGGTGGGACGGTGGCTCTGTACTCTCCCCACAAGCCAGCCAGGGCAGAATAAAAGCCTGGGTAGGGAAGGAAATCCCCTGTACCTGTGCCGTACACAGGAAGAGCAGTGTGCAGCCACAGATGAGCCTGGCCATACAAAAAGCCTCAGATCCATGTCACCAGCAGTGATCCTGAAAGTGGCAAATACCCAAATCTGAGCCTTGATAAAGCCTTGGGACCCTTTACATTTCTGAAGAAGTAAGTTTAAAAAGTCAATCTCTTCTTCCCCTTTTGTGAGTGAGCTGTTTCCTCTTAAGTGGCAGCTGTTGAGATTGCCCTTAGTGTCTTCTCTGCATTTCTTTCTTTTGATAAGCACATGTTTTTATTACAACATAGTGATCTCTTCATATTTCCTTGCCTGGGGGATGTGAAACCTCACTGAACAGAAATCCTGCCTCTTTTACCAGCCACACCTGCCACACCAGGGACTTACATCTTTGTACTATTAAACACAGACAGGATTTTAAGATGTAAATCTATTTTTGTAAATTTTTTTTTTCTGGGATGTTGTCTTCTTTATGTAGCACTGAACTTTGTAAAGTATATTTTTAGAAAACTCATTTTTCTACTAAAGGAAACACAGTTTACTTTGGAGAGACTGCGATATAATCAAAATTTGGAGTTGAAATCTTTGTTTAAAAGGATTAAATAGAAGCAAGAGAAAAGGCTCTTTCTCTTATAAAAAGGTACAATCTTATTGCAGAGCTAAGCTAGGTAACTGCCATGGTGAAGAGGAGAATCATCAGTTTTACATTTAAGGAATTAAAAAAAATGGAAAGCGCATTTAGCCTGGTGCTGGTCTGAAGCAGGTTTTGTTGAGTCTGTTTGGGGCAGTGATGATGATAAGGGAGCACTGTTTTTCACCACTTCTGGAAGAATCCAACTGCATACCATACTCCGATCAGCTGCCAGTATGACCCTGTAATGTAAGCAAAGCAATAATAGAATCCTTTGTAGATTTATGTATATTTATAATGTTACTTCAATGCAAATTATTTTATTTTTATATTTACAATTGATATGCATTTATCAGTATAGACTATAAATATCTGGAGAGCCCAAATAATGTTCAGCATATTTTGGTTACTCGATATATTGACAAAATTCGCCTACAATCTTACCAAGTCTGACAGTGGTTCTCAGCCTAGCTACACAGTGACATCACCTGGGGAGATTTAAAAAAGCTTGAAACCCAGCTGTACCTCAGAAAGATTAAACACAAATTTCCAAGGGTGAAACTCGGGTATGTGTATTTACTAAACTTCCTGAGGTCACACCAATGAGCAGCCAAGGTTGACAGCCTAGGATTGGCCACAGGGACTTGGACCCGAAGGCAAATTCTGCAGGTGTAGGTGACTCCCAGGCAGAGAGACCTCTAAGCCACAAAGACCTCTGCATGTCTTTGTCTCCACACAGAGCTTCTCCAAGCACTGGAAGGGAGGATGTCTAACCAATGGATGAAAAGCAAAGGAAACATAAAACAGACACCCCTTTCCCACTTCCTAAACTCACTCTCTCTATTCAGGGTGGACTGGTAATAAAATAAAGATAGTGAGTATCTTTACTGCTTATGCAACCAACATTATCCGCCCCCCATCCCCCAGAAACCAAGTGACCTTCATTTCTT